CTAAGGGCAGATGGTGTCATGATAGCACCAAGAAATTATTTTTAAAAAATTTGCATTACTGATTTAGAGTAATAATACAAGGCAAATCAATGATGCATGCAATTGAAGCCGAGTATATCGGTAGAGGATCTTTTTTTTAAACATTCATGTGATTTAAATTTTGTTTAATATGTCATTTTCCTTAGCATTATACTAAATCTTCCACTTGTGTTAAATATCTTTTATTAGCTTTGACATTGAAATAATTATATTGTTATAAACATAAAGAATATTGGGTGGTGGAATGTGTGTTTTTTAAAATGTCGAGGGATGATTTCATTCTTCGGTTTCGCATGAAACAAATCAATGTTTTGTCTGGAGCAGATCAGATTGTGAAAATCATTTTATTGATGAATAAATAAGATGGAGCAAACAATTAATTCTTCGCAATATATGAGGTAAAGTCAAGTGACTTTTTATATAGTCATTAAAATTATTTGATGACAACAATTATGTTAGAACATAATTGTTATTCATTTCAAATTTTATCTGTTTAATTTTGTCCTATTGGTAATAAAAGCTATGAGTAAATGTTTCAAAAAAAAAAAGTTTTATATTAGTATAAAATATTGAAACCAACATTTTGAATAATTAAGGTTATAATATTGTAGACTATATATATATTTTTTTGAAGTGATACGTTGGTGATTATATACGGTGTAAGAAGTAAAGAGGTCAATTTAACTCGCTCTCAAGAATTCCCAATGAAGAAATATACTAAGATGTGATCCCTTGCGCACATGTACTAAAGTGTCAAAATTGGCATATACTTTTACTTTGGTCATAAGTGTAATGTATGGTAAATTAAAAAAGTGGTAATCTTGCTTAAAATTGTCATATGTTTTGTAAACGTTTAACATAAGTAACGATGTAATTGACATAAATGATAACACATATTCTGTGTCAGAGTGATTTTTTGAGAAGTAACTTTTTTAGTAATTTAACATTTGGCATGACTTTTGAGAAATTATTAGTTTTTGAGAGTCAAAAATTACTTTTGAGTCCATTTAGTTAATTTTATAAAAGCACTTATTCTAACTGAAAGAGTTTTTAAAGAAAGTTAATGTAACATGGCTTCATTTGAAAGCTCTTTCGAAGAAAACTCTTTTATAAATTAGTTTTCAAACAATAATTAAGTAATTTTCTCAAAAAACTCTTATATAAGAATTAGAAGTACAACCAAACGGACCTTTAAATTAGCTTATTCTAAAAACATTTTTAACCAGATAAAGTACTTCAAAAAAATTATCCAAAGCATTCAATTAATCATTTCAAAGGTAATTTTTGACTTTTAAAAGTCATATTGGAATTTTTAGTCAATTGAACGCTCTCTTGACTTCACTTTTGTTTTCTTTAGAATGCTTTTTAGCTTTGAATAGTTTGAGGACAAGGACAAGTATCTTCTATTTTGAATATCATTTTAGAAGTAAAGTCGCACATTTGAGTTGAGCAATCCTTAAATTTATTTTCAGGACCCAAAAGCCACTTTTTTCTTGTGGATTATGTGAGCCAATTCTTAATTTCTGCTACTGTCTAGTCGTCTCTCCTCTTAGATTTTCAACACCGAATGGAGTTAGAATTTAACCTCAAATGTTTCTTCCCATGTCGATGTGACTGCTCCAACTAGTCCAAGTGGAAGCAGTAGTATGGAGTTCTATTATAGCGCCCTGGCTAGTCCCAGTCGAAAAATATGGATTCCCTCCAAGCAAAAAGATGATCAAAACTCCGATTTTGATGATTTTGAGTTTGAAACTAGCAACAAGTTTAGTGGATGTTTGGCGTTCGAATGGAGCAAGAAATTTGAGGGCTCAGGATGTAATCAAGATGTTACGATTAAGGAAAGACATCGTGAGCGTGAGGATTCTCTTCCTTCGATGGCATTTGCGGATGAACTTTTCTTGAATGGCCTTGCTATGCCACTAGAACTCCCACCCCGGCTTCAATATGATATTGATGCACAGAGTATTAGCCTAAGATTGTTTGCTTCAACGCCTATTCGCCAGAAAAAATGCACCGGATAATGATTTTGATCTTTTCACGGTGGCTTTGAAAAAGGTGAGGGAGGAAAAGAAAGGCAATGATCATAGGCGATCAAGGTCGCGTTTACTCTTCACGACTTCTATATCAAAATGCTCGAGTCCAAGGGATCGGAATAAGGAAGATAGTCCAATGCGCTCACCAGTGCAAGTTTCGACACCAAGCTATATAATGCCGAGAGAATCCAAGGGCCCAGCTTACAATAGATGGTTTCGAAACCAGACTAAAGAAGTGGGACGAAGCCCAAAAGGGCCCAAGAGCCCGAGGGGTTTGTTTTCTGGAGGAAGAGTAAGACCTGTTCGAACAGAACGCGAAAGGTCCAACGAGCCCATTCTAACTAAAGGAGTGTATGGAGAAAATGTTGTGGAAAATAAGGTGCAAAAAGTAAAAGGACTTCTGCTGAGGTTTGCATCATTTGGGAGAGAAAAGAGTTGACTCCAAACCAACAAAGCAAATTTCAGAACCATAGACGCCGAAGAAATTCAGGCAGTCGAGCTTTAGAGTCGAGGGAAATGGTCGCGGGGTCGAGAAGGAAACAATGTCTGCTGATGCAAAGATGGCAGTAGCAGAATATAAGATGCCAATGAAGCCGACACTTGCACTTTGTTTGGGTTATGGAATTGTAAGTCCTAGGAACATGAAATGGTGTTTGTACTTCTAATCAAACATTGATCACGGTTTTAACTTTTGTGCACTAGAAAAAAAATATACTTTGATTATCCTACATTCTGATGTAAGACGGGCATTTTTTAGCTTCAATTTCAAGATTTACCATTCTACTGAATTTGTTGGTGTTGTACTTGTACCCATATCTCCCATGGCAAAAACGCAACATAATTGGGACCTAACGAGCTAACTAGGCAAACATGTCGAGCCACAGTTGGCTTGATCTTATAATGACACCAAGAAAACTGACCCTAGGACAAGCGCTCATTTGCACCCAATTGCCACAGAACGGGTAATATTCCACCATGGTTTACTCGAAATTTCAAATAAGACTCACTTATTGGAGTTCTTCTAACCATCACCCCGTCCTTAATGGCCGAGCGCTATACGAGTGTACATAGCAGGATAGGAAACCTGTCTTTAGCTGACGGTACCATGCTGATGCAACTGTAACCAATATTTAAAAGTGCAAGCCCAGAACATACTATGCAGACAAGTTCTCAAATCGTTGCAACAAAACTACTCCATCCGAGATAAAGGAAAGATATAGAACAATGGCTGCATTCCCAATTCAGTGCTGCCAGCATAAAGCTCAATAAATTACTACATAGATATAAGTCATAGTAGTTGTATTATATTCTATTTAAAAATTCAACAGAAACAAGTTACATACAGCTGCTATTAACCTATCAATGGCTTAGCGAATCAGGAGCAATAATTTCCCGAAAACGAGAGTACGAGTGCAAAAAGAAAAATGTTGCACCAATGGCAATAAGCAAAGCCCTCTTGCAACTTATAAAAATACTAATATGTAGATTTCCAGATTTTGGTACAAATTTTCACCAAAAGTAGGATCTATTCCAAGACTTCAGCTGGCCAGAGGTTTCTCCACATGGAAATCTCTTCACTGCTTTGAAGTTTTCGAATTCCCCCATAAAATCCATCCGCCTCATTCCCTTCTTCTCGATGGTCTTTTCTGTTAACGGATGTCGTTCTCCAGCGTGAACCACGAGTGTACTGGTTGAACTCTAGCACCAGAGTGTCTGCAGCACAAGTTCAGATATGAAAAAGCACGCTTAAACAACTAAATCAACTATTATAAATAAGAAATTTGATCAGAGTTGAAATATTAAAAATTGTTATCAGTTGGTAGCAGATCTCGCCTGCCACCTAACTATAGTGACAGTAGCACACACCATGCTTCCTTTGGATAATTGGCAAAAAGTAAATATCCATGGTCAGAATTTTTTACAAGAAATTTTCCAGCCTAGTATACTGTGACATGGGAGGTTAAAGTGATCTCATCTTTTAAAAATCTTCACTTTTCTTTGTTATTTAGTGACTTTACCCTTGAATAAAAATGAGAAAAAGAAAAAAAAGTATTTGAGAAACATTATCCACAGTAAATGCAAAATTAACACCTCATCTACTTAACCAAACACAAGGGAAGAAAAAGCAGGTTCCTTTCAGCTTGGTTGGCCTTAAATGTTCCACTGAGACAGCAATTATAGTGATGTTGGAAGAAAGTACGACAAACGGACAAGGACTTGACTCAGGGACCAATTTTATAGTACATGTAATGACCCACATGCAAGAAAATAGGAGCCAAGAGAGGTCCTACCAAGAATAGAAGTATGCATTATGATGATAAAACTTATGACCACCTTCTGAAAAGAATCAATTATGAGGTCCCCAAAAATAATAAGAACCCCTCGTCATCCCCCCACCCTCCTCACTTCCCCGCCTTTGCACAGTTTTATATATATCTTGAATTGTTATTACGCCTCCAACTTTCAACTCGATGTATTTATAGTATGGAAGGCAATTTTTTTATAGCATTCCATTATACAATTTTGCAACAACTCACCACTATCACGGCAGCGGCAGTAATTGGCATTCCCATCACATGTTTCCAAATGGCCTACAACTCCATACCACCATCCTACACAAAAATGGCAGTCATTACTCATCAATTGATTGAAAAAAATACATAAGGAATTTTATATATCTCAAAACAGCCAATCCAACTGAGTAAAGTTTAATATAAATATAGCTTTGCTTTACATCTGTTGACGCCTGACGGAACTTTCTACCTAACAAGAAAGACAGACCACCTTCTAATTTCAGAAAACATTATAATTGAAATGAGGACTGTAATCACAAAGCACTATAAATAATATATCAAAGTTTGATACGAAAAAACTATGATACCAACGGTTCCTTGAATCAAGTAAATTCAGGTCTATTTCGTGCATTTACACGTTGTCATGTGACAAAAATTTCTTGATCATCAATCATCATAAAACAAAGACACAATGGCGAGCCATCTTTTTCGAATTTTGACACACAGTCTTCATTTCAAAAAGTTTCTTAGCAAGAACTCACTCATAGCACAACAATCCACAGCAAATTCCGGCCATAGCACACTAATATGAAACAAGGTTAAATTTTTTTTAATTATATCCTAGCTTTGCAACGTGTACCCCAAAAAGGTGTTCACATATTGGGTGAAAATATATTAAAACTGAAAAGAATATGCCTTTGAGGTGTATGGTATGAAGAATATTACCATATGGAAATTCTTTGTTTCTTCTCCATTGGATCTCGATATGATCACCGGGTTGCAACTCGTTCAAGCAATCAGAAATATGAAGATCATGGGGTGAGGTATCAACAGGGGGAGCTCTGAGTCTGTCCCATGTCACCCCAGTCTCTATTGAACTTGCTCTCCTTCCATGTGGTGGATATCTGCTTATATAAAGCCTTACAAACTTTAATAATACAATAAAGAAAAACATTATTTTGTGTTAAATCATATCAAATGAATCACTGACAAAAAAGATACCTGAGAAATGCTGTTTGGTCAAGATTCAAATGAAATTACTTTATGGATTTAAAATTTTTAACTTCAAGTCGAATTTATAAGTGGAATTAAAAAAAAAAAAAAATCACAATTCATATCACGTTTCAATTGATGTTAGAATAAAACATCTTTCCAGATACCTGGCCTGGAATGTGTTGGTCCGCCGATCATAGCCAAGCTCAGCATCATAGCATGATAACACAAATCCAACATGACCATTCTGCATAAAAGAATAGAATTAAAACTTCAATTCAACCAAGATTCATTAACCAGTTAATTTCAAGAATTCGAAAAAGGGGAAATTCGAAGTCCATATAAAAATCATTACCTCACGGTTATAGACTTGAGCAGGGAACCAAAAGTTTCCAGACTCGAGAGCAAGACACCATGACATGATTGAATCAACTGGAGGAAAATCCTTCTTCTTGTGAATATTACCAAAACTAGATCTAATCAGTGCAGTAGGCCATAAGAGAGTGAGATAGCCCATTAGGCCCCTCTGTTTGCCTTGATTAGAGAAGATTGGACCTTTTCTTGAGGCAATATGCCACTGCCATTCCCTATATGCAGCAGGGCCAATAATCCTACCCCATTTGTTTTTCATATGTTTTTCCCATAGATGATCACTTGTGCACCTATTTTTCAAAGTACTACAAACACTAGCCATTCTACAAAGCCCCTCTGTTGGAAGCCTCTCAAGAATGCATTCCAATATAAGGTCAGGCAAATCTAACACAGACATATCTGGTGTAATCTCAAGATTCTCAGCCTTACAATAAGTAATCTTGTTCTTCTTAGGTGACATTCTTGGAGTAAAAAATGCGAAAAAAATATCTAACAGAGTATTTCTAATTGTTTTGGCTATGGGAAAAGGTGATAAATCTTTCCAAAACCAGAGAGACCAATCTCATTTCAGAAGCCCAGGATGGGAGTGGTTTGAGGTAAAAAGACTGGTAAATGAGGATAAGGAAAGAGAACAAGTGATTAAAGAAGAAAGCATTTGACAAATGAGGATGGACTGCAGTTAGGCATATATACATGATAGTAATTTATAAAGGGGGTAATTCAAAAAGTTAGTCCACCTATATTGGAGAAGCAACAACAAGGCTAGTAAATACATGTAAAAACACTAAAAAGTTGGGAGTCTTTTTTCCTTCATTCACCTCCCTTAAAATGGAGGAAAAGGGATTTTTAACAAATCTCAAGAAAATTTATGGATTCTATTGGCAAAGACGAAGCCCACCTAACCCTATTGTGGGCCCCGCCAAAATTCTTAAGAGAGGGGGCACCCCGCCAAGAATTAGGAGTTAACAAAGCTTTAGCATATAAACGAATGTAAACGGGGAAATATCAATGGGAACGGTAAACTAGAAATTGTCAGCTTGTTTGGGAGTTATTTTTTAGCCCAAAAAATTGATTTTTTGATCCAAAAAATTGATTTTTTGACCATTATTTCACTATTCTGATCGTCATATTTGACTTCTTCTCTCACAAGTGGACCCCACTTTTCTCTTAACGTTCAAAAAATCAATTCTCAAAATCACTCTCAAACAGGCTTTATGAAAATTTAGTTATAACTTTACAAAAAATCAACTAAGAAGACAGCTTCTGGCATTAATAAACAGGTTGAATATGAATCTATATAACACAAAACTTAACACATCTTTAGCTACACTAAATTTTTTTAAAAAAAAAAGGAAAAGGAAAGAAAAGAAAATTTAACTTAAAGACGAAATATGTTACATGATAAATAAGAGGAATAAATTGCAAAAAATAAGGTCAGGCAAATCTAACACAGACATATCTGGTGTAATCTCAAGATTCTCAGCCTTACAATAAGTAATCTTGTTCTTCTTAGGTGACATTCTTCGAGTAAAAAATGCGAAAAAAATATCTAACAGAGTATTTCTAATTGTTTTGGCTATGGGAAAAGGTGATAAATCTTTCCAAAACCAGAGAGACCAATCTCATTTCAGAAGCCCAGGATGGGAGTGGTTTGAGGTAAAAAGACTGGTAAATGAGGATAAGGAAAGAGAACAAGTGATTAAAGAAGAAAGCATTTGACAAATGAGGATGGACTGCAGTTAGGCATATATACATGATAGTAATTTATAAAGGGGGTAATTCAAAAAGTTAGTCCACCTATATTGGAGAAGCAACAACAAGGCTAGTAAATACATGTAAAAACACTAAAAAGTTGGGAGTCTTTTTTCCTTCATTCACCTCCCTTAAAATGGAGGAAAAGGGATTTTTAACAAATCTCAAGAAAATTTATGGATTCTATTGGCAAAGACGAAGCCCACCTAACCCTATTGTGGGCCCCGCCAAAATTCTTAAGAGAGGGGGCACCCCGCCAAGAATTAGGAGTTAACAAAGCTTTAGCATATAAACGAATGTAAACGGGGAAATATCAATGGGAACGGTAAACTAGAAATTGTCAGCTTGTTTGGGAGTTATTTTTTAGCCCAAAAAATTGATTTTTTGATCCAAAAAATTGATTTTTTGACCATTATTTCACTATTCTGATCGTCATATTTGACTTCAATATTTTCAATTAGCTTAATTCAAAAATTAATTCTCAAAATCACTCTCAATCAGGCTCGTGCTTTACATATGAAATCTGTGGGCTCTAAACGTACGGAAACTTCGGAATATGCAAAGACCCTAACTTTCTCACAAATTCTTGAATTACTTATTTAAATATGCAAAATGAACCCGGAATTTGAAAAATAACAAGGAAAAACTCTTGTTCGGTGGATTACATTAATTCTCGTGATTATTGGCCAGAATAAAGAAAAGCCCTCTGATCACCATATCCCAACTGTCACATTTATTGGTATACCGGAGTTTGCACCTTGAGAGGCCGGCGTAGGGTGGAGCGGGGAGTGAGAGTGGATAGGCCAAATTTGCTTCTACATTTGAAAAGAAGAAATAATAATAATAATAATAAAAAAAGAAAAACTGTAAAAGGCCATCGTCCATTTTAACCATAAATTAGCCAGACATGCATCGAAAACATAAAAGCAGGCAGTTTTGTTTCCATTAAATAATTCTGGGATTACCGAAGAATCCAAGAAATTCATAAAGCAGAGGGAGTGGAAGGGTTCTTGTTTATCTTAGGTTAGACCAAAGGATCCAAGTTATTCCGTCCTATAAAGCCTATTTCTTTTTCGGATAAACATATGTGTACAAATAAATATGTACAAAATGAATTACTTATTTTCACAAACAAGCGGCCTCCACGTGAATTTAAAAAATGTCGGTTCGTGATTCCCACCCCCTATTATGAGTAGTGAGTAAAGAATTTTGTACAAAAAGTTTGCAAGTGTTGCATGATACTTCTTTTTTCACACCGGTCAAGAAAATTTAATTATTATAGTTCATATAATAAATTTTACTATCATTTTTTCTAGTATACCATTACATTAACACAATCAATACTCAAGGTAATTAAATTATTCTTGGTACTAGTCATTATTTATTGCAAGGATCAAGGTAACTAACATTCCAAAGTCATCCAATATAAATATAAATAAATAAATGTCATGGAAGATAAAATGTTTTTTTTTTTAAGTTTTAATTTATTGTTTCAACTACAATTGAATTATGGAGTGATTTATATTTGTGATAACAAAACGCATTAAATAGGAGCATATTGGAAATTAATATAATAACTACACTTTCAGATAAGAAATAGGACTCGAATTTGGGACGGACAAAAAATGAAAATAGGACTATCTTTATAGAGCGAAAGAAGTAAAATAGCTGTTTTTTTTTTTATTTTATTTTGAATCTTTAATGGATTTTTCTAACCACGTTTCATTATAAGATGAGCTGATTTTAACGGCAAACATTAAGCTTTTGTTTAGGTCAAATTTTGGAGAAAAATGTATTTGGAAATAGTGATATTTTGGAAAATGTATGGTTAAAAAAGAAAAGGTTGTTGATTTATGTATAAAATTATTTTATTGAAAAACGTGTGATTAAATATGAGTTTTAAAAAAAAAAAATTTGAAAAATTTGGGATCAAACAAAGGCTAAGTATATGCTAGTCGACAAAATTATGAGAATTCTTGCTTGACTAATCGATGGAAACTATCTAGATGGAATACGATTTGATAGATTAATGGAATTTGTAAATATATACAATCTATATATTTGTCATCAAATGTTAAGATCAAATAATTCTAAATTTTGTCGAAGCTAAGGCCCTATTTTCTTTACCGTTTTCGGGTCGTTTTCTGTTTTCGAATTTTCGAAAACGTTTTCGAAAACGAAAAAAAATTTGTGAAGAAAACACAAAACGACTTTTTTGTCGTTTTGGGCGTTTTCAGTGTAAAACTTGAAAACGCGGGAAACACTTCTTTTTTTTTTTTTTTTTTTTTTTTTTTTGGGGGGGGGGGGGGGGTTTTCAAAAATTTAAAAA